CCAGGTACAGTTAATAACAGTTCATTTCATTCTCCAATTCTCAAGCATCTGAGAACAAGATTGTATCAATATACATCAATTAATAAGCCATACATAATCTTACAAGGCGTAACATCGTAAGGATATAAAAAAAACGGGTTGTAATAACGGCTTAAGTTTATAGAATCTCAGTCAGATCATATTAGTCAATATGACTTAAATAAATAGAGTTCTGCTTAATAACATTTAGAAAAATCTCGAGGTGTTTCTTTTTTACCATTGGGATATTTAAGAAAATAGTTTATTTGCAATTTATTGACTAAAAAACTAATTGAGGATAATAAGATATTTATATTATTTCCTTCTATGCAAAATAAATAATTTATTGAACCTATCGAGGACTATTAAATAATATGCTAATAAAAATACAACCCAGTTAAATTGAAATGCCTAGCACACTAGACACAAACCATATGAATGACTAGAACAAAAAGGCAGCTGCCTTTGCGTAAATTTATGAATTTAACGAGTCTATCATAATCTATATTATTTTAAACTCACCAACAATATTATAGATACAATACATACTACTGATTTTATAATTTCTATGAAAACTCAGATGCTTCCCCGTAATTTGTACAAAGATAAAAATTAAATAGTTTTAAATGTTAATTTAACATAAACATTTTCAAGAATTGAAATTGTCATTTTATCTAATCTTCAATTCTTCAAAACACGGTTTCCATTGTATAAGTGTTATCTATTCAAATATGCTCAGTCAGATTCACTTATTCAATATATTCATATTCTATGGAATGATTGAGTCAGAGTCACTTCGTGTTAAATAAATGTGGGAGTGTTCAACTTTTTAAATTATGTATAAAGGGTGTAGTTATCATCCCAAAACATTCATCTACTGACTCATCTTAATATTTGTTGTTTTAGATTTAATTATCGTAGTTTTTTTTCTCCGGTTAAAAAGTAAATGGAATAAATAAGATATACATATATTTAGAAAAACTTACTTGCATGTACATTCCACTAGTAGCTTTGTTACTCTTTTGTAAGAGATACAATAGGAATGTATACCCTTACGGAAGAGGCAATTAAACTCTGTAAAGTAGGTTCTGTGCTACTCTTTATCGAAGTAACAGAACTTTGAGACATATTCTAAGCCCAGAAGGGGTCACCAAAGACCTGACGATCGAAGTGCCATATCCAATATCAATAATAATAATAAGAAAGAACAATAAATTCTAAAATTGTGAGGAAGAACTAATCGCACGATGTCGTTAAATATATAAGTTCTAAAGAACACAGAAGCGCTTAAAAGAAGTTCGAAAACAGTTAAGCAAGATTGTCCGCAAAAAATCGAAACTTTGTGTTATGACCTAAAGCCGACCTGATCTTGACAACCGACGTAAAAGGGTGAGAAGATGCTGTACAATGGGGATGGGTATGGAGAAAGTAATATGGAGTAAGGAAATTGATACAGATAGTGATATTCAATTTAACCTGGGTACGACTGCAGGATTCTTACGGGACGGAGCCAAAAACAATCGGATTTAAATTTGTGTGTACATTTGTAAAAGAAAAATTGCGACTTAAAGTGGGGTCGCTCACATATGTGGATGAATTTATATGTGACTAGTAGCCGTTTAACATGTGTTCATATCCTTATCTCAATTAAGCAAGGAAAGTTCTTGCTTGTTGGAAAAATTGCTATTAGACAAACGTAATCTTGAAAAGAATACCCGTCAGTAGTAAGACGAAAAGCTTTTGCGTTTGATGCAAAATACGAAACAGATCAATTTCTGCAACGAGACGGCACAGTACACCCTAACTCTTTTTGTTTTTTATGTTACTTCAACAAAGAAGCCGAAAAGCGTGATATGAAGTAGAGCTGCAGTTGAAGCAAACATTGGGAATGTTCGTATTTATTATTGATAAGTAACTGTTTAGTACGTAGCTATATCCTAATCTCTCTCGAGTAAGGAAACTTACTGCAGCACAAGATGCTGCACATCCTCGGAAATATAAGTTAGTAGCTTGTTGCAAGGTTTACTATAACACAACCGCAATCTTGAAATGGATGCTGACTCGGCATGGAGGGTAGAAATCCCTCGCCTCTAGTTATTCTTGCCGTTGTTCCCGATGAGATCCATAGAAAAAAAACGCCTTGAAAAAAAATTACAAATACGTATACATAGATAAGGATATGGTTGAGTGAAGGAAGTGTGAAAGTGCTTAGACAGAAGCGTTTATTGAGGATGAATGGGATCTTGATTGAAGTCAACTTGGAACAATGCCGAAAAACTTGACGGCTTCCTTCCCTTTAGTCGAGATCACTTATGTTATCTATGTTACTGTAGAAGTCAATGTATTCATGATACGACAAGAGATCGATAATGCAACGAGGAAAACCGTGTGCTTCTGTTATAAGCGTAATCTTTTTGTTATTGTAAAGGAAGTAGCACCAACTGGCATTGCGTTGATTATAAATTTAACTTAATTTGTTCAAAAATTTTAAATATTTAATGTGTCTATATCATAAATAATATTAGGTTTGTACAATTGATTTCTATATTTACAGTAAATTCATAAAAAATTTTTATAATGGTTTTAAGGCATTATAATATAACCTATTCATCCACGTTTACGATAACGTAAAGTTTTTGATAACTACAAAACATGTTAATTACATTTCTGTTAAAAACGGAACTGTTTTACATACAAATGGGTTAAATTTATAAAGGTACCAAACTACTTAGTATCCTATATAAAATTCATTAATTAGATTCAATACTCTGTATTTATTAAATTTTAAATCTATTATAACTTTCGATTTATCACCAGAGATATATGCTGTCAGGGGCTTTTATTGCTAAGATTATGGAGTAATGTATCTGTAGTATGCTTTAGAATAACCTCAATGGCTAAAAATATTTACTTTGTTATAAAATTGAAAATAACAATTATCACTTTAGTTTATAATAAAAATATCACTTATATTTTAATATAATTCAATCATTAATTTTCCATTATCATTCATTTTAACAGTTGAAGTTAATTTACAAAAAATAAATAATTATATATAGAAATTCAATTTTACAAATGCATCTTATTATTATTATTACATATTATTTCATTTCTAACAGGCAAAATAGTTACAAACAAATTTAATAATTATTTGCTATTATTACGTGTATTTTTCTATTTAATTATTTTTAAACAAAACCTACAATTCAAGATAATTTCACCCACATGTCAGGCGGGTATTAAAGCAATAGCAACTTTAGCTGTTAAATAAATAGATAAAAAATAACGCTTTAGAAATTTACAAAAAATTTAAATATGGTTTTTAGTTAAAAATATAACAAATAAATAAAATTATAAAAAAAATTTATTTTAATAAAAATAGCAACTGTGTCATTCATTACTCAAGATACATGGCAGATAAATCGTATACAATGTTTCATTTGTACTTATGAATAATTAGCTTATCAACATAATTATGAGTGAGATAAAGTTAAATTAAGTAAATATTTTGTGCGAAATAGTGTGAGAATAAATAAATAAATAAATAAGTTAATATCATTTGAGATTCAAAATGTATTGCTAAAGGTTAAACAACCAAAGTGATTCACTCACTCGCTACTTAAACTACTTTGAGGTAGAAGTTCTCTAATGAAATTCTATTAAGGAACTATTCAGGTAAATTGCACCCAATCTGTGTTACGACTTGCGCAGCGACATCTGTAGCCACACGTATACATTCACTTAGTGAACGTTTCTCAAGCCAGGCATGTAAGAAGCCAGCAACAAAAGCATCTCCAGCGCCAGTTGTATCAAGAACATTCTCTACACGTGGCGCATTGTAGCTGTTGAATACAATTGGACCAGGTTCACCAAGCTCTTCAATATAATTCGATATAACTTGAACACCTTGATCTCCTTTGGTAATCACAATTATCTTAACTAAACCACTCTGTATAAGTTCTTCAGCCATTTTCTCTAGACTACTACAACCCATCTTCTCCGTAAATGCTTCGAATTCCTTTACGTTACCGAATATAAAGTATGCATTGCGTGCTAAGTACAATAATTGCTCGTAATTACGCTGCACAATATAAGGGGCGCTGAGATTAATGGCCAAACGTCTTCTTTCACGTATATAATTGCGGACTATGTACTCGCAGACATCCTCACGCTTCGGTATAAAGAAACCTTCTATGTACAAAATTTGCTTGCGTTCGATGGAGCGTAGGAATTTTTTATTCTCATCCTTCTCAGCACGCTTTAGTAGATCTATGGAGAATCCTGCTGAAGCGCCTATGTTCGCATAAAGCGCTGTCTTATCTTCGTATACTAAACACACGCATTGGCCTGTGGGTGTTTCTGTGATCGTTTCAATTCTAAAATTATAAATAAATTTTTATTTTCAATTTGAATTAATTTAAATAATTTGTTGTCATTTGAAAGTAGTTATGGAAATGGTTAAGAATAGTGAGTTGTTTATTTCATAAGCTGAGAGGCGTTTATTGTCAGAGACTTAGCACGAACTGTCTAATTAAAGTGTGCTTAGTTTGTTTTTTCTAGCACACAACGTCATCAAATATTTGCACTTCAAACAAATTCAAGCAATGAACGAGAAAACCGGTGGGGTTTTTCTAGATATACCTACGTACATTTATTAGTAACTGGATTTTATTTAGATTTTTACGCTATGAAAATAGTTTTCCCTGTTATGGTGCAATAAAATTACTTTATGCAAATGTACGTGAGAAAAACTGATCCAGCTGAATCGATTATGGAAACTGAGTCAGGTTTTTATGATGCACAGATATTTTATTTTTAATTGTGTTATTAGCAAATCGAACTGAGTTCGTAGCAGATAGGTAAATAAATTTTTAACAGATATTTTCATCTTCGGTTGCAATGCTAAATACGTATTGTATGGAGTTTGTATTTATGCAAACTGGGGATTTACATTTTCTTTTTTTTTTTTGGTAAACGCAAGACTGATATTGCGAGCAGTGACTAAGCAAAAAGTTAATCCAAATATTGGGACTTTTCTTATTAACAACAAAATAAACAATTACCATATTGGTTATAAACAATAAAGTTATTTTGATACTATACTAAATGTGATGCACATATGTATGTAAAATATGTTGTTATTTATATGTTTGTATATAAAAACAAGTAATACTATATTACTATTACTATAAGTAATACTATATTTTATATAACATCTAGTAAACAGTATCAGAAACATGTAAATTAAATAATGTACATATGAAACACCTTTTAATGGCTTCTACTGATATCGATTTTTAAAGCCTCCTAGTGATTAATTTACTTTTAAGACTTTTTTGAGTGAATCATAAATGGATTATAAGACGTATTTACAATCTTCCTCATAACTACACATTCAAAAAGAATTAGATTTCGTGAGTGCCACAACTTTAAGGCAAGTTATCTCTACAACTGAAACATAGTGGAACTTGCACAGTATTTAAGAAATCCCTTCTCAAATCACAGCGCCTGGACTTTAGAATATTGTCAAATATTCATATAAATGCCATTATGTAGGATGAAATGTCATCTACTAAATTGCATTACCAAAGAGAAGTAGAGATCTAAGCCAGAGACACTCAATCTGGAGTGCTAATAATTCTCATTGCCTTTCAAGAAATTAAATCTGAATTTTGTCATGTTTGTTTTACAGGAAAATGTGGGGCACAACAATATCATAAATTATTTTACTAAAAAACTACTAACTTTCTATCATAATTTGTAGTATATGTAAAAGTATGTGATATAATCAGGGTTATTTTAGTTACGGAACCCTATTTGGGAAGTAAAACCACATTGGGTTACTAATTCAATATTGCATTCCGTGTAATGAATGTGCATATATATTGACACATTATTAATTCCAGATTTAAATGTATTCATGCGTTTAACTACTTAAGTACACAAAAATATAAATTTTACAACTCTTATAAATTACATCATTAAAATGCAATAAAGTAAAGATTCAGTATTTGACTATAGAGGCAAAAGTAAATGCATTTCTTAAAAAAAAAAAGAAATATGAGTAAAAAATGTCGGAAATTTCAGAAATTTTGCAGTAGCAAAAATTGCTTTAGTTAAAATTTAACAAAGAATTCTTTTAACTTGAGATACGAATGCAAACTACGTGCATTAGAAGAGATAAGATTAATTAAAGTTAAAAAATTATGACCGACCTTTGCTTTTCTAAGAAATCGAAAATAAGAAAAAATTGTTCGATATCTATTAGATATTATTGTTCATCTATTCTTTTATTATTATTATACTTATTCAATAAAGCTCAAGAATCTTTAAGTAGTACTCACCTATTCTACTATATAATTCAATTGATCTTCAAACTATTTTGAACTACTATAACTCTCGGCTAATATCAGTTCATATTTTATCTAAAAACTTAAATGTAATAATCTGCTAGCAGTTTTTTTGAGCGAAAAACCCCAATTGATTATAGATAGATCAATTGCGCGAATACTAGCATATCATATACTCTTCCCTCTCAAATTCTCTTGAAGTAAAATTTACTGGTTTCAAAAATTTCTTTAAACTCTAGGGTGAATACTCGATTTTCAATGTCAAACAGGTAATAATCGATTACTACGTAAATCCTGCCATTTTAATAATATAATAAAATCAAATCTCCAAAATATTCGAATACTGAATATTCATTATCATTTCAATTTTTTTTAAATGCAATTCACTGAACTTAAAATCTTCTATTAGTTCTACCGTGGTTACTCATATAATATGTATTTCCTGCCATTTAAATTTTCTTAAGATAAAATTTAATAATGTCAACCTCTTCTACGCAATTCATTGTGAATATGTAAATACTACGTATTCTCTTATATTTTAATTTGGTTATAATTCACTGACCTCAAAATCTGCAAATCACTTCGTTCTACTTTAATTCAAAATTTAATAAATCTTTATTTATAAACAAAATATGTCGACGCTTTTATGCTATGCTAGTATTTAAAGTCACTCAAGAATAAATTTAATTAAGAATTATGGATTTAATCAATCTATTCATATACAATGAAGTGCTTTCATTTGTGAGGATTAAACACATTTATATGAACTTCTTTAAAAGACCTTGAATGCAATCGTAAATCATAAAATACAAAAATATGGATTAAATTGATAAACAATAATAAATTGAATTTTTAATGTCTGAAGTTCTTTTAAAAAAAAATATAAGTATTAAGTGCTAAAAGATAGCACAAACACATATAATATAAACAAATATAAAAGTGCCTACAGTACTCATATCATATATATATGTGAATTCTATATAGTTCTATGTTGTATAAGCAACGTTTCCATATATAATTAATTCCTTATATTATTTTTTTTTGAATTCCCATTTCCACTTATTATTCTTTTTACTTACCTGGCATCAATTTCATAATCTTGCAGTCTGTCCCTTAACTCCTCTGCGTATTTATCATCGCCAACGGCACCAAAAAAGAGTGCTTCTGTGCCCAATTTTTTCAAAATGCGTACTGTGTTTAAGGAAGAACCTCCAGGATTTGTAATACAATTTGAACTAAAATAATTTAATTTTAATAATTTTAAATAAGAATTTCAAAAATGTAACCAACGAAAAGTGTCAAAACAAATTTAAAATGTCGCTAACCTCTCGCAAATCTCAGCTGTTAGTGAATTCAAAGTCTCCACACTCAGTTCGCCTTTCGCGTTCATTGATAGTTGAAAACGATCGAGAATATCTAAATCTGCGATTTGCACTGTGCGATCTAATAAAACATTTCCAAAAGCCACAACTTTCCGCGGCCTAAACAAATTATTAACCATAAAAGTAGAAACAAAAAGGTTAATTACGAAATCATAATTTTGTGTTATATTTAGCAACTCACGTGCCGGCACCCCAACCCGAATCGCCGTTGCTATCGCCAAATATTTTCTCATAAAATTGCTGTAAGTATTCCATTGCTTTCAATATACAAAAAATAGCACTTTGAAAAAAATTATTAATTTTACTAAAAATTTAATTTGTTAAAATCGATAAAGAGAATTAACGGACGTCTCCCGGTCTTTTGGCACATTTACACAACACGGCCGCAAAAGTCGTACTAAACTCATTTCGTGTTATGTTATTTTATTTACGCTGTAATTTGTTATAAGCTTGTGAATTTTTTATTGCTCTTTTTTAACTTAATTTAGGAAGTGGGAAAATTGTGTGCTTAATCATCTTACGCCTTCTTTCCAACTTCTTTTTTTACGTGAGCAAAAAATAAACACTAAAAACCTCGTCTAGTTGACAGTTACCATGACAACCTCAAGCTTTGTTAAGAAGCGCTATATTTGTAGTAGACAGAGTTGCCAATTCTTTTTATTCTTTTGTTGTGATTTCGTGTAGAACAAAGAACAGAATAATTTTGCACTGATTTGTTTATAAAATTATTGTAGGAAATTATTTTTATAAACGAACTCTTTTGATTAATATTGAACTAGTTGTTGATAGTTTATATGTGTTTTTTAAATGAAAAATTAAACATAATTGAAATTTGTTTTTATTAAATTGCTTATATGCAAAACCAGTACAAGCAATCAAAATCTTGTGGAAGATAAATGTTATAATCTGCCAAGTAAAAAACTATTTGAGTTTTATAACTGTATGTTCAATTAATGCTTAATTAGTTATGAAATTTTCAATATTTAAAATGTGATAATAATTAAATAATCATATCTTCATACTATTTCAAAAATTTATGCAATTATTTTACTCTATGTATATATAATTAATTGCATTTATTATTTATATATATGTTTGTAGTGTCATTTTTATTTTTATATTATATGCACAAAATTTATGTTTACTATTCCAATATATATTATTGTTTATTTTCAATTATGTAAACATATATATATTTGTATATATATTTGCTTAATGGTATATCTTTCATTATATTAGCCATATTATTGATGTAAATTCACATCTACAGAGTTTGAGAATTTATGTTAATAAAAGATTAAAAGTATTGGTAACCCTTTGTCAATACATGTGCTTGTTTACATTAATGCACGCTATCAACAATATACGTCAGTAAGTCTCCAAAAGCTTAGTTTTATAAACTTTTCATCATAACGACAGTTTTAGATGCGTTATATTACTTGAGCTTATAAAACTGTACGAATTAGTTGGCGTAGATTACTTGCGCTACTCAAACTGTTAGAATGAAAAATTTTAGTTGTATTGTGCCTGCGAAAAGTTTTCCTACAAGAAAAAGATTTAATTTAAAAATAAATTACAAATGCTAAAATTAACAGAATTTCAAACATTTTTTTTCTAAGTCACATAATTTTACTGTCATTAAAAGTATTAATAT